CCCGGGCTTCCTGGAATCAGCTGCTGATCAGTTTCAGCAGCAGCTGACTTGGGGACACCTGGGGTTCTTAAGTTGGATCTGTATGTAAGTCAGAACTGGCGTCCAGATTCAGCCGCTGTTGAAACTGATCAGTTTCAGCAGCGGCTGAATCTGGATGCCAGTTCCCACTTACATACAGATTCAACTTAAGAACAAACCTACAGTCCCTATCTTGTACGTAACCTGGGGACTGCCTGTAGTATATAATCAGTGAACCGATAAACGAAAGCTTATTGGTTACTTCTGTAGAATACATGCATTTCTCCCTCCCCTGCCAGTACATTTTTTAGCAGGTTGGCCAGTTGCCTGGTTCAGTCCTGGCTTGCACTGGGTCCAGGACCTACCCCTGCTGTGACTTTGCATTTAAAGTGTAATTGGGAGCCATGTGGGCAGGCAGCCTGGCTCAGTTCCAGCTTGCGCCGGGACCCAGGAGCTCAGACTTCCCTGCCCTGGACAGAGGTTGCTGCCACCTAATTCTGCTGTCTCTGTATCGGAGGCAACAGTGCGTGGTGACAGCTAGTCCACAAAAGGAGCTGTTCTTTAAATGGGCTCCTCTCACGGTGCCACCTGGCACCCTATTTTGCTGCCTCTGTTAGAGGCAGCAGGGTGGATTGGCAGGAGCTCCTCGGAAGTGGGGGTGGAGCTGCCTGCCCCAACCCCGGGAACTATGGAATAGTCGATAAGAATTCATGAGGTTAATTGACTATTCATTTAACTGATATTTAACATCCCTATTCTGAACCATGATAACTTTTTGCATACTTGTATGTGTTTTTGGAGTATCTTTTACAAGGTTTGTATAATTTAAGACTTTTAAGAGCAGGTTAGACAAACAGCTGTGGGGGGTGGTTTAGATCAGGGATGGGCCATCATTTTTTATGTGGGGCACATCTGAAGAAGTGGGCTGTAGATACCATCTACCTGTTTTGTTAATCTTTAAAGTGCTACCAGACTATTTGTTGTTTTTTAAGTTTTACCAAGATTTTGGTAAGTAATCAAGGGCTGCACTTTTTTATAGAGGGGCTGTGGGATCTGGAACAGAATTTGGGTGCAGATGGGAGGTCAGGATAAGGGACTGGGGTGCAGAAGAGGGTATGGGGATCTAAGAGGGAGTTTGGGTGAAGGAGGGGGCTGTGATCTGGGGCAGGAGATTGGGGTACAGATCTGATAGGGGTTAGGAGTGCAGGAGAGGATTCTGGCCTGGGGGTAGAAGTGAGGGAGGGGGTGGAAAGTTGGGAAGAGGGAAAGTCATGACCTGAGGAGGAGGGTTCAGAGGGTTTGGTTTTTATCTAGGGCAGGTGTTTGAGGTATAGGGTCTAGGAGAAGGTATGGGTGCAGGAGAAAGATCCTGGCCTGGAAAAGGGTTAGGAGAGATGTGGAATCTGTGAGGGAGTTGGGGGACGGGTGGAGGGGCTGAAGTGCCGGAGACATGCTGTAGTTGGAAAGCACTTACCTAAGCAGCTCCCAGACAGAAGCACTCAGGCAGGCTTCCCCGCCAGCAGCCCCAGACAACTAGCTGTGCATATGGTGCTCTGTACTGCCAGAAGGGGAGAGGGAGAGTGAGAGGTTTCACATGCTGCCCTTGCCCTAGTAAAATCTCTCAGCTCTCATTGGCTGATTTCTGGCCAATAAGAACTGAGAGATTTTTCTGGAGGGGGGCAGTGTGCTGAAGCTTCTCCCTTTATCGCTTCTCCTTGTAGCGCAGAAAGCAATACGGAGCAGCTAGGTGCTCTGTTCAGTGCTGCTCCTTGCTGCAGAGTCGGGCATGGGCTTGATCAAAAGCTTTGGGGGGGGCAGATCTTACCTGTCCCTGATCTAGATGATGCTTTGTCTCACCGTGAGTGCAGGAGACTGAACTTGATCTCTCGCGATCCTTTCCGATCCTATGGTTCTATAATACAGTTATTTATCCTCTACTTACTGCTGAATAGTGTATAACTTTACTTGGAAAAAATATTTACTTTTTTAGGACAACTTGGTACATAAAACCAGCAGAACGCTGAAAGCTTCACAGATTTCATACAGCCAGTTGGTTCTTTGTTACTGCTTAAAATGATGTATAAAAAGGAACATTTATAGAAAAGGGATAGTTAGAAATGAAATATAGGAGACAGTTGTGAGTTTTTGTGTGCATATGTGCAGTACTTGGTACACTGGTGCCAACCTTTCAGTAAGAATGAATATCTTGATGGATATAAAAATACATACATAATTTGGGGAAGTTTTAGTCTCCATCTTCAGTCCTCTGTTCACGCTTGCATATTAGTTTGTCTTATTATAATCTAGTAAAATAATCTTTTTATATAGTACTATATTTACGTTTAATTGAAATGATACTATTGCTAAGAGTGAGAGCTCATATGGAAAACAATTTTTTGGTCAGGCCTTTTTTGACTTTATAGTAGATTGTTTTAATGGTGGTAATGCATTTAATCTCAATCACCTAAAATTGCTTGCAACCAACAAGATTAACTGCATAGTGTGATAAATGTTTAAAAACCAAGGGGAAAAGTTTTTCTTGAGGAAATTGCTCTTGTAATGTACCTGAGATACATTCGTACTAGAGTGTTCATTAATTGTGGTGAAAGCCCTATCACTGCTGGTATTTTGCAGGATGCTTAATCATTATTGTTCTAAAGAAAATATCTTTGTTTTCTTGTTGCATCATAACTCTAGAAAAAGTTTCAAATCCATACATCCTTACAAGATAGGCATGAGATGGCTATTACCTGGCAATCTGTACAAAATTTGCTTTTACATTATATTTTGTGTATATTTT